TCGGTTTGGCTCAGTGGATAGAGCATTGGCCTGCAGATAGAAGGGTCCCAGGTTCGATTCCGGGCAAAGGCATGTACCTTAGTTGCGGACACATCCCCAGTAAGGAGTGTGCAAAAGGCAGCTGAATTGATGTTTCTCTCTCATCGATGTTTTTAACTCTCTATCCTCTTCCTTTTCTCTCTGTAAAAAATCAATAAAAATATATTTTTAAAAATAAATAAAAATAAAAAATAGAAACAACAACTATGTTGCAATATTGTGAGGATTAAAATGATATAATAGTAAAGCACAAAGTGCAGTTCAGGACAGAAAAAGTTTTCTACTCTTGCCGAAACCGGTTTGGCTCAATGGATAGAGCGTCGGCTTGGGGACTGAAGTGTCCCGGGTTCGATTCTGGTCAAGGGCATGTACCTTGGTTGCGGGCATATCCCCAGTAGGGGGTGTGCAAGAGGCTGCTGATCAATGACTCTCTCTCATCGATGTTTCTAATTCTCTATCTTTCTCCTTTCCTCTCTGTACAAAATCAATAAAATATTTTTTTTTAAGTTTTCTACTCTTGCCTTATAAACCCTGGTATGACCTTATGCCTCTTAAGGCAAATGAAAAAGGGATTTATTAACATTTACTCTTTTATTGCGGTTACTCTGAGCACTTCCTGGGACCATCCTGCATTGATGATATAGTCTCAGTGACTCTTCAAATTTTACAATACCACTGTTTAGCTCAATTAAACCGGAACTACATCTCTCCATGGGGGTCCAGGAATTCTTAAAAGTTATTATTATTTTAAAATTATTTGCTTCATCTCTAATATCTCTTATACTTCTTTTTGTCTTGCTTCATGTAGAAAGTCCATTAGATAAAACTCTGCAGGAAAGATCCTTGAGGGTGGAGAGCAGCTGTCACTTGCTCTCAGCCTCCAATGCTGTGGAGTAAATACACTTGCCAAGGCCCTCAGTGCCCTGCTCATCGAGCTCAGTGTAGCCCTTGTCCGGGGTAAATAAGGTTGTCAGAGCTTCTGTTTCTTAATAGATTCCTGGCTCCTTGTTTCCACCTAATTGCAGTGCTTGTTCTAAATGTGTTTGCCCTATCTGATTCTAAATAAGAGTCTGTTCAGTATTTTACCTTGTTGCCTATTCTTCTGTTGCATTACTTCTGCCCCAAATATACAATATATTTGAGTAAAAAAATTTTAAATGTAGAATGAAGAAGAGTTTCCCCCTAAATACTTCCATCTCTTTATCTTACCTATAGAAAGTTCTTGCTGCCTCCAGCAGATTATAATGGAGTAGAAAGCATAGTGAGATATAGAGACATAGTCAAAGTCAGATTTTTATAAGAAATATTTTTTTTAATTTAACCATTTGAACAGATATTACTCCTTAGATTTGTTTTGATTGTTAGCATCTGGCTCAGTTTGGTTTATGGTTTTGGTACTACAGTGAATAAGTACAAATGTAAAAGTTAATAAAGTGCAGTTTTTGGTAAAACAAGGAGAAATGTAGATCATGAAATGTTTTAAATTTATAACCATGTCTCATGAGTTGAGACAATATAATGGCAAAGCTACTAGTTGAAAAAAACAAAAACAAAACATTATCTAGATAAGTTATCTGATAGCATATGAGCAAATTAAAAAAATTTAATTTTCATTTGTTGACATAATTACAGATGTTCCCATTTGACCCCATTTGTCTCTCCTCATCCAAACCCCCCCATCTAGCCTCCATCCAGTTTTCACCACATTGTTGTCTGTGTCCATGGGCTATGTACATGTGCATATATGTTTTTGACTAATCTCTTCCAGTCCCCTCACCCCCACCCTCTGAGATCTATCAGTCTATTCCATGTATCTATGCCTCTGGTCCTATTTTGTTCATCAGCTCATTTTGTCAATTAGATTACACATATGGTATTTGTCTTTCTCTGACTGGCTTATTTCGCTTGGCATGATAATCTTTAGGTCCTTCCATGCTGTCAAAAGGATTATAATTTATTTTTTTACTACTGCATACTATTCAATTGTGTAAATGTACAGCTGTTTTATCCAGTCATCAACTGGTGGAAATTTAGGCTGTTTCCAGATCTTGGCTATCTTATATGATAAGAGGCTATAATGCAAATTGCCCTCTCTCCTAGGTGTTCAAGGGACTGGAACAGCCAAAAGGCCCACAGCCCCTCCCCCAGCCTATCCCGCCCCTGATCATCCTCCACCCCAATTGGGGGCGGGGCCAGCCTGCCAACCACCTGTGACTCCTCCATCCTTCCCTCTGCTGCCTGACCCCACTTGTGTACAAACGGGGTCTCTAATTGTAAATAAACTGATGTGGGTATAGTGGTGCATATAATCTTTTGGGATTCTTAGGCTGTAATCCCAGAAGTGGGATCACTGGGTCAAAAGACAGTCAGTCCCAATTTAATTTTTTGAGGAAACTCCATACTGTTTCCTACTGCACTGTAGAGTCTGAACAGCAGTGCAAAATTTTTGACTGAATCCACATTTAAAGCTTGAATAGATTTATTGAAGTAATTTTATATTTATAACTCTGATAAAGTAAAATTATTTTTCAGATTTTAACTTTGGGGGATGCTTTTTTCACTATCTATAGCATATTTAGTACTTTTTAATTTCTATACAGGATAGTGTTGCCTCATATTCAATTAATAGCAATAGAATATATTCCTATTTACAATACATGAGATATAGAATTTCACATGTAGAGAACATATCTCTACAACTAACAAAATATATATCTAATGTTCCTATCTTGTAACCTTAGCTAAAATATTCACTCACACAGCACCAATATCTTCTCTTATTCCCTACCTCACCTCTTTTATATTATCTATCTAATGTGAGATGATCTAAGCCAAACCCAAGGCTGAACAACCTTAATGGCTCCTAACATGTTATATGTATTCTGACCTCCAACCTAAACTCCATCAGCTTTCCCAGCATTTCCAATGGGACATCTCATAGGCATCACATTTTTCATGTCCCAAAACAAACCTTTGATTTCTAACTCCCGGCCTCCCAGCCAAGTCACTAAATGGAATTCTGTCCTTCTGGTTGCTGAGGTCAAACCCTAGAGTCAGCCATGTCACCTTTTCTCCTACATGGCCTTCTCTCTCCCCATCTGCACTAACCCACTGTCTCTCCCGTCCAGAGTACTGCAGCAGTCTTCTAACTGGTGTCCTTCCTCTGCTGCCCCTCTACAGTGCATTGCCCATCCTGTAGTCAGAGAGTGTCTTGATGTCAGAGGGTCATGATATTCCTCTGCTCAAATATTCCTCTGCTCCAAAGTAAATTGTATGTCACTTAGGAAAATCTGGAGTCCTTCCCATGGCCTTAGCTCTACATGATTCCCCCTTTCTGACCTCATCTCCTTCACCTCTTCCCGCTGCTCACTCTGCCCTTACTAAACCAGCACCCTTCCTGTTCCTTGAGCAGGTCCAATTGACTCTCATTTCAAAGCTGTGTGGGTCCCTCCCAGGAAGTCCTTTTCCTCGATGTACTCTCTCTCTTTTTTTTTTAATCCTCACCTGAGGATATATATTTTTAAATATATTTTATTGATTTTACACAGAGGGGAATTGAGAAGGACAGAGAGTTAGAAACGTTGATGAGAGAGAAACATCGACCAGCCGCCTCTTGCACACCCCCCCACGAGGGATGTGCCAGCAACCAAGGTACATGCCCTTGACCAGAATCGAACCCGGGACCTTTCAGTCCGCAGGCCGACACTCTATCCACTGAGCCAAACCGGTCCCGGCCTGAGGATATTTTTTAAATTGATTTTTAGAGAGAGTGGAAGAGAGAGGGAAAGACAGAAACACATTGATTGGTTGCCTTCCACATGGGCTCCTTGGCTGGAATCAAACCCAGGACCCTTCAGTCTACAGATTGGTGCTCTATCCACTGAGCCTAACCAGCCAGGGCTTCCTAGATGAACTCTTGACTTGATCCTCACTTCACACTGGTCAATCAAATGTCTCCTTATCAGAGAAGTGTTTCTGGGTCATCCCATCTAAAACCGCATCCCCACTTCTTCACACCTCAGGTACTTTCTAGCCTTATCTTAGATGTTATTATATTTCAAAGTATCCTTACCACCTTCCTTGTTGTATATTGATCAATTTATTACCTCCCCACATTAGAAGAGAAGGTTCTGAGCTCAGGAACTTTGCCTGTGTTGTTTCTGACTATTCCCAGGACCCAGAACAGTGCTGCCTCCTATTAGGTGTTTAATAAATATATGTGGAATGAATGAACAAATGTAATATGTTGCTAACAAACACATTTTGACTATATATCTCTGACATTATTTCAATTGTTGGGAACTCAAATAGGAATAAAACATGAGTTTTGCCTTCAAGTGGAAGAAATAGACATGCAAAAAGTTAACATAATGTGTTGTGACTACTGATAGAGTGAAGCATTATAAGGAGTTCCATGCACACTGCAATATTTATGCTTGACATGATATGATATCTTGGATTAATTTCAAAATGGTATGGATGGGAGCATGTGATTTATGCAGGATGTCTCAAAAGTGTATACACACTTTGGATAGTTATAAAGGCAGTGTTTATTAAAATACATTTCACATTTTCAAAATGTAACAGCTATCAGCTGTTAAAGTGTGTATACATTTTGGGGGGACACCCCGTATATGAAGAATGTGTTAAAACTGAGTTATGGTTACATAGGGATTCATTTATTCTCTATACTTTTAAAAGTATTTGACATTTTCCAGAACAAAACATTTGTTTTTAAATCCTAGGATAACATAGTGGAAGCAGTAACCTTTCCTCTGGGGCCAGGGAGGCTTTATAGGGAACACAGTATTTAGGCCAGCTCCTAAAGGAGATGAAGCAAGAACTCATTGGGCTGGTGAGTTGAGAGGGAACTGCACCCCACTGCCACCTTCTGTCCTGCAGAAGAAATGACAAGTGCAAGGACTTGGTATATTTTTTAATATATTTTTGTTTATTTTGGAGAAGGTAGAGGAAGACAGAAATAGAAACATCAATGATGAGAGAGAATCCTTGTTTGGCTACCTCCTGCTCACCCTGCACTGGGATTGAGCTTGGGTATGTACCCTGATTGAGAATCAGACCATGACCTCCTGGTTCATAGGTCAACCCTCAGTCACTGAGCCATGCCGGCCAGGCAGAACTTGGTATTTTAGGTGTTACTCAAATCACACAAACTAATGAAGTGATTCAGAGGGGTAACTTGGGGGAAAATAGTCAAGGACCTTGTTTGGAATAAGAAGAGGTATGGAATTATTCTACAGGGAGTCAAAAGCCAGATTTCAATACTTCAAAATTTAGGGTGGTAACTCATAGTATGCACATTGAGCAGCAATTGGTAGCCAGGAGACATGTACCAACTGCAGAGATACGCATTCTGCCTGCAGATCAGTTTTTAAAGATAATAACTGTATTGTCATACTGTACTTGTCTAAGTTTTAAAAACTATAATTGTCAGTGTATTTCAAAACACACTCTAGGTGGAAGAGCTGTGATTACACGATACATTTTTGCAAAAAGATTAGCTGTGTATATACATATAAATGGACATATATTTAAATCTGACCCTCCTGAGGAAACGTTTTATATTATATCATTGGGTTCTTTTCTTTTCATAGGAAATTTTCATCCCAGATGTTTAGAGCATGTTGTCTTGCTACACTTGATGTCATGACTATAGCTAAGCTTTGCAGTTTGTTTGTGTATGATTGGCTAAAGGGGTAGATTAAGTAACAAGATGCAGGCGCTAAGATGACATCATCTTCACATCTGATTTCACTATGGCACTTGATTTTATTCTTATCTTCTTTATCCTCTAAGGCTAGGCCAGTGGTTGGCAAACTCATTAGTTAACAGCCAAATATCCACACTACAACAATTAAAATTTATTTTGAGAGCCAAATTTTTAAAACTTCTTCTAATGCCACTTCTTCAAAATAGACTTGCCCAGGCCGTGGTATTTTGTAGAAGAGCCACACTCAAGGGGCCAGAGAGCTGCATGTGGCTCGAGAGCCGCAGTTTGCCTACCATGGGGCTAGGCCATCTCACTCTGTGGGAGTTGGAAAGCAGCCAGCTTCAGTTCAACCCCTTAGTCTTTATTCTCTAGGAACTTGGCATAATGGGTCCTGTTATACCATAGAACGTGAAATATAGTGCACAGTTCTAAATTGCTTAAGAAGCTAAAAGCATGACTTTGCATAGAGAGGTTATACAATCACTTCCCCTTTTATTCTGAAACATAAGTTGACAATTCTATAGGGAGTCTTCAGCTAGAATATGTTACTCATTGTTTTAAGGTCTCCAGAATTCATAAGTCCTACATTCCTATATTTTTAAACTGAACAAACATATTGAGATCTAACATATCTAACATTCTGATGTCATGAGAAATACAATGCTGGTGAAACCGTAGCCCCAAAGAATTTATAATTTAGTAAAGGGATTTATAGATACCCAAATCATTATGGTCCAAAGTAGAATATGGTCAAGTAAGAAAAGTTTTGGGAGTACATAGGAATGATGCATCATGTCTGGTTGAGAGCAATAGAAAGAAGATGCTAATCATATTACCTAAGACTTTATCTTCTGAGTGTGATATGTATACTGGCAGAATCAGCATTCTGTGAGAACCTGCTCAATATGCCAATTCTCAGACCCCAAATCAACTCACTGAATCAAACACAGTCTTTGGAAGTATGACCTCCCAACCTGTTTCAACGTGCTGGTTTTTATGCATGTTACTATACGCCACTGACCATTGCAGTGACTCACTCACAGTAGATTTCTGGTTTGGGGGGAGGGAGTGGGGATTCCTTTTAAATATTTTACATAATGAGCACATGTCCCTACTCTGTGTGCGGTAGAGTTCACTGAGTACACCATTTGCCTCACTATTGCCTTGGGCTTGGCTTTGTTTATGACTAGTTTGGGAAATATGATAAATCGTTAACATACTGATTGTTACATGTTTCTTGACATAGTAGGCTGGATGAAAGACAGAAAGTAAACTGATATAACAAAAATGTTAAAAGTGTCCCCTCATTATAAAAGATACATATTTTTAAAGATTTTTTGTAAAAGGACTCAAAATAGCTTTTTTTTTTTTGCTTAGAGCAGCCAGTTTAAAATTCTGATATTTAGAAATTGTTTTGGAAGACCTAGGCTCAAACTAAGACTTTATATGATTCAAGTTTATATTAAGATTATTAGGGCATGGGCACAGGCATTTCAGCTACAGAAGGCACTGGCATTAGGCCACGTGCTGGGAGAGTTCATGGACGTGGAATTTACCCGCATGTTGTTGTAGGCAGTGAGGGTCAAACAGGAAATGGCCCACAGGCAGCAGGCTGCAGTGAACTGAAATGATGCTAGTTGTTGCAGGCTTTCTTCACCAACTCCTTATGATATTTAAAGGGATGTTGTCCAGAAGGCTTGCAACTAATTTGTTTTGCCTTTTACTTCAGCAAATAATAATTCGTGAAAATTATGGATATGATTCCGGAGACACGTTGTTGAGTACTTTTATAATCAAATGAGACAAAACCCAAGTGCTAGATATAATTTTTAAACCTAATTCATGCATTATCAAGGTTTTCTGTAAGTGAATCCGACATTGTTTGGCTCACTTCATTTTGTCACCATGAACATGCACTATTGGTCTTATGAATTGCGAATGATATGCTAAAAATAGTACTTAATGCAAATGACAAGAAAAGTAATATTTAAATTGCTTGAAAAAAGTTTTCTTAACATCAAATAGCTAAATCAAGTAAGTTAGTGTATAAGGGACATTTTTATCCTCTTTTCCAGGAAATCCAGTGTGAAATTGTGGTTTGAGAATGGCAGCAATTAATCATTATGGTAAACTGTCAAAAAAGAGCTCAGGTCATTTATGTTAATGATTGCAGTGTGCAGTGTTTGACATTTACTGTGAGCCCTAACATATTTCATATATAACAATTAACCAAAATGGCAAACATCTGGAAAACGGTCTGCCTGAATGCTTGGGAGAAGTGGTATAAATTAGTATGTACATTTAAAAATATTAAAAATTATACAATGTTATATTTTCAAAACATATTTTAATGAAATACATGTTTTATTAAAATGCATGTATTAGAAGATATGTTAGTGTTGAATAATTGCATTATAAAACAGCATTTTTAATTGGAATTTACACACAGGTAATTTATGTAACATGAGGTGATTTTCCCCAGAGCAATTTATGTAATATCACCAATAACCACAACCTGGATTACATGGTGATATTTGTTTGGTAATAACCAAAAACCATTTAGATGCCATGGTTATATGCATCTCACCATGTATGCATCTCACTTAGGCCGATTGGTGGACATTTCCACTTTACCACTATTTGCTTTAAATTGCTTTCAAGTAACGTTTTGATCATTAACAAATGAAAATGACTATAAAATCCAGATTGTACATGCATACATGCGCACACACACACACACGCGCGCGCGCTCACACAGGCGCGCATACACACTAAAAAAATCAATTCCAAAGAGGGATAACTATTTCCTAAGATTCAATTCCTGAACATGCAAATGGAGTGAAAAGAGTATTGTGAAATATGTCCTACCACAGAAAGTACAAGTTCAATGTTAGTACTGTGGATACTAGACATATTCCTCAAGGAATTACTTTGTTACCAATTAGGAAAGATTTCTATGTTGAGGGTGACTTTTTTTTTTTTTTTAAACTGCACTGTTTTCAATATATTTTTTTTATTGATTTTTTTACAGAGAGGAAGAGAGAGGGATAGAGAGTTAGAAACATCGATGAGAGAGAGTCATTGACCAGCTGCCTCTTGCACACCTCCTACTGGGGATGTGCCCACAACCAATGTACATGCCCTTGACCGGAATCGAACCCGGGACCTTTCAGTCCGCAGGCCGACGCTCTATCCACTGAGCCAAACTGGTTTCGACTTGAGGGTGACTTTTAAAGATTGTACATAACAGGTCAAAATAGGTTGTTTTGGACAAACCAAATTTGTAACTAGGAATTTTCACACCCATTGAATCCTCCTGGCAGTATGGCATATCTATACTAATAGAAGCCTATATGGTCAACCGCACACCATAACAATCTATCACCAGGAGGCTGTGTGCACAGTGGACGCACAGGTGGGCGGGCTGCATGTGCAGCAAGGCGCATGGGGGTGGGTGGGGACTTGATGCTTCATGTGCAGTGCAGAGGTGAGTCCCGTTGGCTCTGTGTGGTGATGCTGGGGGTCCCACAGCTCCGCATGGCACAGAGGTGGGACCGCCAGCTCCAACCTACATCTGTGGGGCAATCCATCGAGGAGCCCTAGATGGGGGGGTGGGGCCTACCTCTTTAGGGAGATCAACAGTAGGGCTCCCGTACTGTGAGAGGGCACAGGCCAGGCTGGGAACCCCTCCCCACTGAGTGCATGAATTTCATGCACCGGGCATCTAGTTTTTTATATAAAAGCCCAGCAACCAAACAGTGAAATAACCAGAATGACCGGTTGACCAGTTGCTATGATGTGCACTGACCACCAGGGAGCAGCTACTTAGAGGGTAGGTCCACAGTCACTTGGCTGACCAGGATGAGTGGCACTCCCACAGTGGGCCAATCCCTACAGGCCATGCCCCCCACCAGTGCATGAATCCATGCACCGGGCCTCTAGTACTAGTATGAGACCTGTGGTCTGGTTTTATAACTGAATTGTGGGGATTTGGGTAAAAAAGGCAGCTGAATGAGTGTCTTTGGAGATAAGTCAGAAGTAGAGTGAGGAAGCAATCATCATGCTCTGAACACATTATTTCCTTGCTAATCCAGGTTCCATTAAGCCTCAGTTATTTAAGAAGCATAGCAATGGACTCACCACCATCCAAGAGTGCTTTGAAGATGATTTGCCTGAATTAGTATGTAGCCTTCCTCTACTCTTAAAGTCTTCTCACTTTTTGAAAAAATATCCTGTTGACTTATTTTACACAAAGCTGAGACTAACACAAGATAGTAGGGAAATAAAGTGGAAGTAGAGATCA